ACCAGGCTTCCCCTCTCTAACAGTCGTTCAGATTATTTTGCTGAACATATCTCGTACAGTGTTGAGTATTTGTTTGCGAGATAGTCCCCCTCTTACTCATAGTTTTTATCCGAGAAGCCAAAATGTCTTCATCTTCTTTAGAAAGGGCAGTTATACCACCTCCAGTCACACCTGTAATAGATTTTCATTGTTTTAAAAAGTAAAATCTAGTAGGTACCTAATTTTGTTATAACCTTGTGCATGTCCTGCCGTTGGTCTACTTTTCCTCTATTGCAGCATTCTTTAGTGAAGATTTTCCCTATTTGACATCTCTTATAGCCAGTTCTAATGCTTCTATTGAATACGTATTTCCGACACCACAATTGATAGTTTTTTTAATATATTTTCTTGACATTTTTGCACCCAAAGATTAAGTTATAAACAAACTAACCTAGAAACTTTTGGAACCACGTTTCCTCCGGTATCGCCGTCCACAGTTACACCGATCATGTGTCATATCTGGGTAACTGTGGACTCGTTAATTATCAAACTCATACTCCAGCTACTCAGCGCTAAATGGCCCCTAAAGTTTACTTTCAGAAGCATTTATTGAAAATTTGCACTGCTTCTGTACTGAACCAAGTTTTTCAAATTTCACTCAACTACTACGCAATTTACTTAAATCAAAACATGACGGTCAGAGTTTTAGTTGCTAACTGAATTTTTGTTTTGGTAGCTGATATCTCAAGAATTTCTCGCTAGTTACTACCAGAGAGCTTAAGCAAGTATGTACTGTAAACTTTATAAGATTTTGTTAATTAAAAAAATATTAATGGGTGCCATAGTTACCCCAAACCACAGTTAACCCATTTCACCTTATATATTTTCCCCTAAACGAGTTTATTACTACTTTGTAGGAATTTCTAGTGACAAATTCACTAGCAGTAACACATTAACAAAGTTTGACAGGTGACAGAATAATTATGAAGTCAAGAGTTTGACAGATGTGGCACGTGACAGAATTATGGTGAAATCTGCCATACTTAAAAGAGGCGTGGCGTAGCGTATTTTACAGAATAACTGATTCATTCTCTACCACTTCCTTTATTGTAATACATTTTTTCTGTTAATTTTTCATAAAAACATATCTATTGACTCTTTCGCTCTTAAAGCTTTGGCTATGTTGTACATTGTCAAGAACCTAAAAGATAATACAGCAGCATATATAGGAAACCTCGTGAAAACCTTCAGTCGACTTTATATTTCGAAAATCACGCGAAATCGAGTCAATTAGAGGTTTTTCCGGTCAACGTCTTGGTGTACAGATATGAATTTTGTCTCTTCGGTGTTTGCAGAAGGTTTTAAGTCAGAATTGCGTTTGAGGCTGTGAATATTATCTCCAATTATTGTATATAAAATAAAATATGTAGCCGATTATTTTTATTTTTTGAAGAACTACCTTCGCACTAGAAAATGGACGTGCCATTGACTTATAAAGTTCATAGTTTATGTATAATAAAATAATTTCACATGTAAATATGTTATTGTAGGTACTGTTTGATAAATATACATATTTATTTATTAAATGTTCATATTAAATTTATATATTCCCGTATTTTCTCTTTCCTGGCACTAAAACCTTTAAATTTTCAATAAAAAAAATTTAAGACTCGATTTTTTAATAAACGGACTTGAAGATCCAAAAGAATTTAATAAAGCATTTAATTATTCTGTAAAAATAAAAGTTGTGGTAGATTATTTGAAATAGGATAACGTACCACGCAAGTTGTAGGACAATGTGGGTGTTAAATTATATAAATATTAACACCTTACGTGCGGATGTCTGATTCTAAGAATTTTGCTATGACCTGAAACTTATTTTTTAATAAAACTCCTAAAAAATAATTAATAAATGTTTATTGTAATTATTAATACTAAATTATAGTAAAATAATGAAAAATTTTTGCATGGCCCACATGTATGCCACCAGGTATAAAGGATAAAGGTATTTGCACCAGGAACGGATGGCGCACATGTATGTCGCAGGGAGAAAATTTAAAATATATGTTCCTTAGTCGTGTACAAACAAAAAAGGCTAATATAATATAAGTAAAATATTTTTAGGTCTTGTGAAAATTTGCAAAACATGTCCCAACACATAAGCCTGGTTTTTCCTGACACATAAGGCAATGGTATAATGACAGAACTCTTTTTTTATTTCGGGAGCAGTATCGGCATCGTTTTCGTAATGTCCGTCCTCTTTCATCTCTTACTTGAATTTTGGTTAAATGGTGACTTTTTTAAGGGTTAGGAGCCCTTTGAAGTTGCCGATGTAGTGGTGGTATAAGTTTGTCGATAACTTCCATACGGAAATCATAAAAAGCCAAATTATTGTTCCCTGAATATTTTCTAAATAGGTAATATGAATTGTACAAAAGCATTTGCCAAATATGAATACCGATTTTTTTGTACCATCTTATAGTTTTAGGCTACAAGGTTAGTAGTACATTAGTTGGTCGAAACGATCGATTTCACTAATATAGGTATTATATTCTATAATGGGACGAGGCTTTACTAACATTTTTCCTCTTTTGTTCTGGATTTCTTTTAACTCATTTCTTTTGGCTTTCCATTTCCTTTGCTCCTACCATTACGTCATTTGAGTATCTCGCTATAGTTTCTCCTTTCTTGAGAGATACCGAAACTACATCTTGTGGTACATTTTCTATATTTTCGTATAGTACTGGTACAGTACGTGTTATTTTGAAGCAAAATTACTGCTAAATTTGTACTATTATAAAATTTTTATCCATGAAAAAAGAATGTCCCACGTTTAATTTTTCCGTCATTAGATGCATGACGACTTTTTCGGTATGACCTGATCCTCACAGTTCATCCAGTTGACCCGTATATATAATAATTATTAAAGTAAGCCATCAGGTTCGGCCAAAATATAAAACTTTACCTCATATTTGTGTAGCTTATTTTTTATGTATTATCGGAACACAAGTCTGCCACGCCCCAGGACCATAGACTCATCCAAAGATAAGTTTTTTCCAGGGTAAAAGATTTTATTCTTTTGTTCATTAAAGTAATCAACAATGGGTCGGATTTTATATAGCCGATCATTTACAGGAATTTCTGTTGGGGGAGAGAAATGCAAGTACCTTAAGATGGTTAGAAAACGATCTCTACTCATATATTGTCCAAAACACGAACTAAATAATCTATGAGTTCTTCAATAATCTGGCAATCTTGAACACTTTATTGTTGAAGTGTGAAACAGCAAATAAATAAAACAACGTAATTCTTCAGAAGTCACAGGTTTCCATGAAGATATGCGAGATTTTTGATAACTACTTTTTAATGTAAATTCGCTTTCCGCATATATGTTCGTTTGATTAACTATAAGTTGCACTAATTCATCATCAAAGAGTAGGTAGAAGAAATTAAATGCATTTTATGCTCATCCATGTCTACAAGAAAATTCGGTGCTCGCGTAAATGGAATGGACTTCATGTAACATTGAGTTTCATTCCAGAATCTAACTTTATTTGTTTTTTTTTAGGAGTAATGGTTACTTGGTCATTGATAGGTGGTTCTGTTACCTTCTCAATATTAGCGATAGGTGGTTCAGTTACCTCCTCAATATTAGTGATATCATCTAAAAATAATAAGAAAATAATCATAACATTTTCGAAAATTTAAAAATCTTAATGTTTACCTAAGTCATCATCAGAACTTTCATCGTCACTAGGTTTGTAAGAAACATCACTAAGTTCAAACTCGTCTATCTCACTATCACTTTCCGGAGTTTCCGGTAACATTTGTAATAGTTCCTCTTCACTAAAATTTTTTTATTTTTTCTCAGATACTCTACTTGATTTAGAAATTTTAGGCCGCGACGGACCTGCCTCCAAGTCACTCGTATTTTTATAATATATTCGAATAATTGCAATTTACTACGAACTGCGTGTATTTCAACGTTTTCTATACAAACGACGCGACGATTTTAAAAATATTTAGGTACTCGACTAGTTTCACGGACCATTTTACACTAATTTCGATCTGAAGAGCATAAGTGATTTCAACCTTTTTTATTCATAAGTAGATTCTCGTCTGGCATATACATCATTTAGAGATAATAATTACATACAATATCTTATATACTTCAAAATTTATTTCTTAAAATATTACGCAGCACAACCATTATTTTATTTGTTGATAGATATTTCATTTGTTGATGTATTCTAAAACCAATGTAATTATAAGTAAAGAATAACTTATCCAACAACCTAATAGTAAATTTAAATCATTCGGCGCATTACTGTAAAAAAAAACACATATTAAAAATGTTTGTAATCGGTGACATAAATGCGCGCCGTCCGCATATGCGGTAAAGGCACCTTGTGGCTCACATGTATTCGATCCGCACGGAATGTGTTAACTTACCAACAGAAAAAAAATCAGGTGATCAGTAATCATCTCTCATGACCTCGTTAATGGTAGGTACATGTTGGAAAATGGGGATAAAACTCTGTGATAAAACTTTGCATTTTGTAGGACAACTATTTTTTCGACTAACTTAGAAAATTATCCTGAGAATAAACAAGAAAAAACCGCGTTAGTAATAAATATTTGAGAATCGTCAAATCAACATATTTCATCCCTGCCATCCCTATTAATTACCACAAAAGCAACTTGTACGAGATTGAACAAGAAATTATTAATATTAATACATAAAACGCTAAATTACATTTTTTGGCTCGTTAGAAACGCCACCTATTGAGTACTTGCTTGCCACATTTGAAATTTTGCTCTACTTCTATTAGAAATATGTAGAGGGCGCGATTAAAACTTTTATTAGTATAAAAAAATATAATTAAAATGTGCAAATACATTTCCTTTAAATAAACTGCTGATTTTGTTTATTATTCGACTTTAATTTTGAGCTCTGCATTAATTTTTGTTATGTTTTTCTATACTAATTTAATATTTCTTTTGTCCTAATAATTAAAATCTTTCGAAATTGTAGGAAATATATTACAAGTCAAATAATTACACTATTTACATTTATTGCGCTCTTCTTTTTGAAAGTCGCACCAGTTTTTGGGACACCTCGGAATCAAAACGTCACAGGGATCGCACTCGGGAGTATGCAAAGCACCTACGAATTTTTCTCCTCTTTGGATATCATTTCTGAGGTACATGACTGCATTATCCAACAAACACGATTCGAATTCTGTCAGTTTAGGAACGCCAAGGTTCTTTGCAATGCCACCTAAAAAGAAACAGTAATTTGGATATAAAAAAACGCAGAAGCTTTGTAGAAGTCTGGGCTTTAGTACTTCTTTAATGTGTTGAATGCCTGGCTGCCGTAGCTTAGCGCCTGTGGTATGGCTTATCAGTATAGTAAAGTGTTTTGGAATCGATAAATAGTTATCAGAAGGCAATGAGTGATAAGAAAATATTCAAAAATTCATATCAGTGGAGTGGTATTAAAAAGGAGGACGTCGGTAGGTCATCTCACACCCCAGGAAGGGAACTATCAAATTAAATGGTGTGCCAACTCATCAATCCGGATATCAGGTGAATAACAATATATCTTTCAATATATATATATATATATATATATATATATATCACTTATCATTAAATATTACAAACTAAACAAGAGAAACGAAACAAAAAAAAATACAAGAAAAACAGTAAGAATGAAATATACTATTGTTCATTTAGTATTCACTAGTATATTCATTTAGTATATTATAACATTATCACTGGTAGAGAAATATGCCCCCCTGTATATATTGATAATTGTCTAGTTCCTTAATCAGAGGACGCTAAATATCTTGGCATGCACTTGGATCGCCGTCTAACTTGGAAAAAAATTTTATTTAAATAAAATTGAACCTAAAAGACTATTGATACCTACCAGGACCTAATAGAAGTGGAGTAGACAAATAGTTGACGTCAGGGTGGGCTTTGGACGGGACATAAGCGCACTCAATGATATCTGGATAACCCCTAATTGCTTTTACTAGAGATATGACGAAACGGGCACAAGCGAAGGCGCTGGCGAAGTGTCCGTTTTCCGGAGGTTTCAATTTTAACATATTTTCCCTGGCTTTTCTGACGGTCGCCGTTATGCTTTCTATTTCTTCCTGGAAAGCAAAATAAATAAAAGTGAAAGGCATTACAGGATGTGACAGACGGAAAAATTAAGACAAGAACTGCGGGTCTATTGGATCAAGTTTAGTTTGATTTCTTATAACCATTATAAGCAATAATAACCATCAAATCAAACAATTTAGACGAATAATAACCATCTGAAATCTGATTATATAGGCGCTAATCAATTACTGACAATTATCGATTGATAATGGACCACAGGAGTGATGACGTAGATTTTATTGACATACGTCAGTTTCACTTTCCAAACAAACCTGGTTTAGTGTGGATAATTTGTATTTTTCGTTATTTTTTCATTTATTTTATAGAATCTTTCCACTTCTTGCAATATTCAAGTATTCTAATAGTTACTACAACAATTTTACAAGGTTGTGTAAATAATAAAGCACATTGTTTTATGCTAATAGCAATAAAATGCATGTATCAATAAAGTAAGGTTACAATTTCTTTATTTAAACTTTTAAACTATATTTCATAGAAATAGAACTCTGAATTATGATGGTATTATCGTAAAAAACACTATGCTTACAAGAAAAAGCAGCAGAGGAAGCAAAATGTAACTTTATAGAAATTAAAAAGTCTTGAGATTTGACATTTCAACATTTGTTTGGAAAGTAATAATGTCAATGTGACAGTCGTGACGTCACACTCCTGCGGTCCATTATAATTTTTATTCTGGTTCTAAAACTAAACTGCAGAGTATAGACTATGTGCAGAGTATAGCGACATCAAAAGATTTGTATCGGTACTACAAATGACATTTAGTTTAATTTGACCTTGAGCTGCCTACGTGAAACGTCTCTAGTTATTAGTAGTCTGTGGGGTAATGTTTTTATGTGCCCAGACGTAATACGGACGTAATTTAATGCTTTACTTATAAGATATAGACCTTATTTAATGTTGGTAGGATATCCTACCAGTGCTGCTAAAAGGGCTAGAAGATAACATCACTAATAGAGCCTGAAAATTTTTTGTGGGGCAGCAACTTTAAAGTACTTGTAGAAATGGAAAATTAAACGTAGCTATTACAGATCTGTTTAATCTATATGGTTACTGAAAAAATCATTAGAAATAATATAATAGGAAATTGTCCTGCGACAAATTAACTATCCATTTTGGAAATGCCTGAGAACACAAGCAGCATGCTGACTTTGTAATCAAAACTAAACCTATGGTCTGACTTACCGTGGTATATTCCGGCGAAGGCTTGGTACTGGATAAAACTGGCACCATAGTGTCCTCGGTATTCCCTCCTATAACTGGAACCAACACACATTCCGGTTCCAAGCCCAATACCCGAGCGGCGAAAGTATTGGCTCTTACAGTGTCCAAAGTGGTTACTCCAAAGACTGCGTTGGGGTTATACGCGCCGCGTTTCTTTAATATCTCGCACGTCATTGGTATCAGACTGTTGATAGGGTTTGTAGCGATGGCCAGAAATGACTAGAAGGGAATCAAAATATAATTATTGAAACATACATTAAAATATCTGAATATTTAAATCGTACTACAAAGTACGAGCGAACCAAATCAAAAAATAAGGAGGCGCTTTAACAATTTTCTTTTTTATTGTGCAAGCTTTTCTATGGGTAGGTATATTGTCTTGATGATCAAGATTCCCTTGTAAATCTGGTTGTTTTTTTCATTTATGTAGTCAAAAAACTATTCATAGTTTCATCAATTACATAATTTGACAGCTTTGGCAGGCATTTATTTGAAAACATCTGTGTGAAATACAAAAAAAACTGTCCATAACCTTTTCAATGTCATGTCAATGTAATGTGTGTTTCAGTCAGGAAATTTATATATAACATCCGCCTTATAGTCCGGATGTATCGCCATGTGATTAATATGTGTTTAATCCATTAACATTGTCATGAAAACATTGTACGCACAGATAGAGATTGCTGGTAATGAATGGTCTCTCAACAGCTATTCTTCAAATTGATTGAAATTACCAATTTGTACAATTGAATGAATCCAAATCTAATAATGAACTTTTATCTTATATCGATTATATTTTTTATAGCATACCTTACTAGCATATTTTGCTATGTTGGTGACGATATCTTGCACGATTGGAGCATTGGCTGACCACATCTTTTCTGGAGGCATAAAATCTGAGTCGGGAGCACCGGCTACAACGACCACCACTTTGGAATTCTAAAAAATATAACATTAATTTTGACGTAAAATTTGACGTTTTTCCAGTAGTGTAATATCTCAAAGGTATACAGTGATATACAGATTTAAAAATTACTTACATGAAGAGCTTTTCCATATTCACTTGTGCCAGAAAAAGCTACAACTTTGCAATTAGTATCGACGTGGTTCAATTCCGCTGCCAAGGCTGCAGTGTGTCCAATATCATGGATACAAAGCTCGTCTATTAAGGGAGATTGCTTCAATAGAAGGCATAACGGTTGAGCTACTTTCCCTAAACAATTTCAAATATTTAAGCAAATCCAGCTTTGCGAGTGTAACTTACCTGCTCCTCCGATAACTGTAACTTTCATCGCAGTGGAGCTGGAACTATAATGCTTGATGGTACGAAGGTGCGATGTACATTTGTACAGGGCACTCAATGTTTTAACAAACATTTTAGACGAACAAAAATTTTGAGATACTTAATACGAATGACAGAAATGACAATTTAATAAAACTTTTGTGACAAACACTATTATTATGTTGCGCCTACTGACATTCCAACTAATGACAGAAAGTATTATTTTTCATTTTTACATCATAGAGACATTTTGTCAGAAACTTGTCTGTTTGCTGGAAGAGGAAAGACCATACAAAATACGACTTTTTAGAATAAATTTATACAGCATTGGAAGTAGACATAGTGCTTAGACAAAATTTAGTTTGGCATATTATATACTACCAACTCAGAAAAGGCATTTTCTTAAAGAGGTGCAAGAACATGCGCATCCTGTTGTTATAGTATCATGGGGAAGATGAAGATAGTCCTTGTTGCAATCTTTTATGTTTGAGGAAAGAAAAAGACTGCCTATGCCTCCTATAAACAGTTTGTTACGAGAAGTTTGCCTTCTTATTCTTATACTTGACCCTAACTAATATTAGTTTCGATGTCATTAGCATGAAGTAAGCAACGCCATCTTTCAGGCGATAGTTCAACTAGATCTTAGTGTAATCTTTGTTGCCTAAATTTAGGCGTAGTTTCACGGAAAATTCAATTTTCAGATGTATTATTAATTCTATCTTGTATAGGAAAATACTTTTATGGAAAATAAAACACATTTGATAATACACATTTATTTTTACTGAAAATGTATATATTAGTCATTTAAACGAGGGAATCTACTTGAAAGTTCTTTAAAAATCCATGAATTTCGTTGAAGGGTGACTTTTTATAATCTTTATATATAACCAATTTTGCGTGATCATGTTAAAAATACAGAAACACGATATATACTAACCCCCTAAATGACGGCTACCTTTGTATACTAGTCTTGCCTACAGGTAAGTTAGTACTAATCCCACAAAGGAAACATAGATATTGTTACAAAAGAACATACAATATTACAAATTGCTTATCTCTTTTTATTTTAATCAAACCGGAGTATGGTTTGAGCATAGAATTTGTGGATATAAGAAATAACGCAGTAACTTAAATTTTTCTGGGTAGTTTTGGGACAGAGATATGTAAGAGAGCTCTCTCTTACATATCTGTTTTGGGGCCATCTGTTTCCTCAAGCCATAATAACACTATTCTTCTTTTAATCTCTTCGCTGACGTTGTTGTCTTTGGTCAGCAGCAAGTATCTGGTTGCCTGATCTAGTACAATACATGTATTTGGTTTTTTCTGCGCGTATTTTTAATCCCATTCTCGGTGCAGACGCCCTTAATAATCGAAATGCCTTGATCAGAGATTCTGTGGACCTAGCAATAATGTCTATGTCATCTGCATATCTGACCACTTTTACAGATTTATTAAAGATGCTGCCATTCGTATTAATATAGCACTCTCGAATTACCTTTTCTAGTGTAAGGTTAAATAAGAAACACAGTCCATCTTCCTGTCTCAGTCCATTTTTACAATAAAAGGGTCTTGAAAAGTCGTTTTGGATTATGACTACACTCTCTACGCCCGTGAGTGTAATGACAGTTTTACATTATGCTATTTTATGTGTTATGCAAGACAGATCATGGAACTGCGCATGCCCACGTGCTATTTCCACGCAATTCCTGTGCTAGACGAAAAATTAGAACATGTTCTATTTTTCATGCTATCTTCTTGCAATTTATCGTTAAAATTCATGTTGCCAACATAACAATTTATAATAGATTACAGAATAAAACATAACCTTATCTCTATCCAGGACCAGGAGCTTAAGGAAAGTGGATTCGTTCATTCGAAGAAAGTTTTTAAAACTTTGAAGGTCTCTAGCATCCAAGAACTCTTGGGGTAACTTCAAATTTCCAGTCCTGCATTCAACCAAGGTTTGACCCAGCATTTTCTAGGTTTTCTTTTTTTATTATTTTTCATGATTGTTGCTACAACAGCAATATTCAACAATAACAATGTTTTCTTTGATTGACATCCTTCACCTTTTTAATAACCATAAATAGTGTATATTTATTTATTATATTATTTTAATACTTAATTATATTTATTTAAAATAAAATAACCTCAAATTGATAAATATTTTCTCTGTTGGCAACAATGAAAGTGGGATCTAAAATTGCACAGAAATATCTCTGATGTAAAAAGGTCAAGTTAGGCAAGAGATGTGCCATGCAAGACGGACTTGCATAGCCTAGATGTAAAGCTACCTTTAGTTCCGTTAGTTGAACAAGATAAAGCAGCATTTGAAATTCTACCATAGCCTGTAGAAGTTTTTGTCTGTTGACCAAGTCGTATGCGGCTTTGAAATCAACGAATATGTGGTGGTTGTCGACTCCGAACTCAAGCGTTTTCTCAAGAATCTGCTGACAGTGAAGATTTGATCCTTTGTCGATTTAGTGGGTCGGAAACTGTACTGGTAGTTTTCAACTATTTGTTCAGCATAGGGGATCAATCTTCTGTACAATACTTTATATTCCACATTAAGTAGGGTGATGCCTCAATTATCACACACCATCATACCTCCCTTCTGTGAAGTGGGTGCATTACACCTAATTTCCAGTCAACGGGAGTTTCCTTCCGTTGCCAGATTTCGGTTACTAATTTATGCATGTGTTTAAAAAGGGTGTCACCACTATTGAGTTCGACAGTAAGATTGTCCAAACCAGGGGCTTTGTTATTTTTCAGTTTTGAAATGGCTTCTCTAATTTCTTCTTCGGTGGGGGGGGGGGGGGGTGGGGGGGCTGCTCTTTTAATGGCGTTTTCAGTCATTTCTATTTGGCCTTCTTCACGATCGTCGCCTAAGTAGTTCTTCAAAATAAGTGGCCCACCTGTTTAGTATCTGTTCTTTGTCACCAATTATGCAACCATCTCTGTTTTTACATACTGTTATTCTGGGTTTGACTTCTTTTCTGCAGCTGTTTATCTTCTGGTAGAATTTTCGCGAGTCTTTTCTATTGTGGTGGTTAACAATCTCGTTTAGAGCGTTTTCGTATGGCTCTTTCTTTTTCTTTCTAAACGTCCTTATTTCTTCTCGTCTAATATTTTCATACTCTTCCAGGTTTGAAGACTATAAAAGTAGTCTTGAACCCGTTACTTTTCTACTGATTTGTTTCCTTACTTCACTTTTATGCAATAGTATTTTGTACACTTTGAGATGGAATTAACACGTTGAGAGCGTTACATACACCCGGGTGCATGCAAAGCTAATTCTTTTTATGCATCACTGCTCAATATAAGTTTTTACCAATGTGCGGAATCAATAAAATTGTCAATTTTTAACCAATATTGGTCGTTTAAGTACCGATTTACTATATTAGATATTCTTGATAACGCTGTGGTATTACAATGATACATATACCCAAATACATGTATCGCACAGAAGTAAAATCGTTTTAGTTCACTGCGTTACCCACGCCCGAGTATATGTAAAGTACACGTGCAAATTCTAACCTAAAATTTTTAATTGGTGTATAGTTACATCGTGTTTGTGTATTGTTGAGTAGAATAAGTGCTAATTTAAAGTGAATCGTTATTAAAATGAGTAATCGAACCAAAAGAATATTAAATTTAACGGTGCTTACCGAAAAACATAAAAAAGTTAAACAAACTTTTGAAGTACCGAATACTCAGCAAGGAAATTATTCTAAACCAGATACGTCAGCATCTTGCTACAAAAATGGTGATAAACAGAACACACAAATTTATCCAGAAGAAGGTACGAAAACGTCAATTGATGCAATAGCAGCAGAAGGGGAAAATGCAAATGTTTTAACAAATGCAGAAGTGTCAAACTCACCCATTTCAAGTACGTCTGTATTAGACCCTTTCGATAGCGATGATTCGATATTAGATAAGACATATGAAGTTTCGTCAGCCGGTTCAAATTCAGATAATGACTCTGAATACGATGATAGTTCATCTGACTCTCCTGAATATGATAATTACAATATAGCAGACGAAGAAATACAGGAAATAGTACCGCAACAGCAAGCAAGTTCTTGGGAAAATATTCGTGTAAAAACGAGCGATTTTGATCTCTTACAAGAATCAGATATTATAAATATAGACAACCTACCGGCCACAATTAAACCCGTTGATATATTCAGACATTTTGTTACCGACGATCTCTTGGAACTAATTGAAACCAACGCATTTACAAATGATCATATTCAGAAGGGATTCAGAAGCAAATCTAGAATTAGATTGTGGACAGAGACAAATAGTTATGAGATGTTAAACTTTTTTGGCGTCATTCTAATCATGGGATTAAATTCAGTGCCTAGTATTTACCAATACTGGTCTAAAGATCCTGCTTATCGCAACGGTTTCATTGTTACGAAGATGAAAAGAGACAGATTCCTTTTATTGTTAAAATTCATTCATTTTAATAGGAATGAACTTACCGATGTGAACAACAAGCTATACAAAATTGAACCAGTATTGAAAATATTACTAAGAAATTTTCAACAAGTTTTTACTCCAGGAAGAACCATTGTAATAGATGAATCCATGGTACCATTTCGAGGAAGGGTACATTTTCGACAATACATAAAAAATAAAACGCACAGGTATGAAGTCAAATTATACAAATTGTGCTCAGGAAGTGGTTACACTTATAATGTAACAATTTATACAGGAAAGGCTGAGAACAAATTGGTTGATATTGCTCACACTGAAACGGTGATTATGAAACTGATAGAACCTCTAGAGAAACACAAGGGTAGAATCTTATTCGCTGACAACTTTTATTCCAGTATTCCTGTTGCTGAAAATTTGTATGAATTGAAATGTCTGTATTGTGGTACACTAAGGAGCAATAGAAGAGGAGTTCCACAAATGTTCAAAAAAAACATGAAAAAGGGGGAAATTGAAGGAAAGCAGAAAGGCAAAGCCAAAATCATCAAATGGATGGATAAAAGACCAGTTTTAATGATTTCTACCATTCCAGAACACGATGCTGCACTGATAGACACTGGTAAGTTGTAATTAAAATTTGTTGTCAGTAAATAAATATTCATTTATATCTATTTTAGGTAAAAAAAATCGCAAAAATGAAAGTGTTATGAAGCCAGCATGTGTCCTCGACTACAATAAAGCCAAGAAGGGGGTGGATGTCAGCGATCAAATGAGTTCTTACCACTCTGTACTACGAAGAACCTTAAAATGGTACAGGTAATGTTAAACATGCACATTATATCACTATTAGTTGTGTGTTTTTCTTTTTCAGAAAAGTTGCATTTGAACTCCTTTTTGGTACCACCGTTGTTAACTCTTGGATTGTATTTAATAATCTGTCAACTACAAAATTAAGTATTACTGATTTTAGAAGACAATTGGCAGAAGAATTAACCTCAGCAGCACCTTCAGCTTCAGCAGCATCATGTAATGAACGAATAATCGAGCAAGTCCCCAGAAAGAGAATCCATACTTTTGTAAAACCTGAAGGGCCTGGTAGAAAAAAGAAAAAAGTGTGCACCAGTTGCTACAAAACACTTCGGATTACCCTATCTAGTAGAGAAGCCGACCGAAAAGTTCGCAGAGTAACCTCATTCTGCCAAGATTGTCCAAATACCCCAGGATTTTGCTTACCGTGTTTTAATAATTTTCATTGTTAATTATTATTATTTTACTTATATTAATGTTAATATTATTTTATGTATTGGTACAGAAAATAAACGCTAATTTTATTAGAACATTGTATATCCTTATGTTTATATTGATAACTAAACCTGTATTTATATGCGTTACATATACTCAGATATATGTACAAATCGAGTCTAGTATACTTTACTACCTTCTTATTACAAAAAATCAACCGGAGTGCTCAATTATTTACGTCACTTCCTCCTAGATGGCAATACAGCTATTGATGCATACATGGTCTCGGGTGCTTGTATCGCACACAAAAGTAGATTATATACAAGTACCACAGTGCATGTAATGCATAAAAATTAAAAGGGCTAAATTTGCTAACGCTCTCAACGTGTTAAGGACACAGCCATTTTTATCTGTAGAATTCTACAATTTATATTGATATTTCTCTGTGGGCGTAACTGCTAACGTCAGCGGGTATGGTCAATGTGTAACAATGCCCTAATTTGCATTATTACTTACAAATACCACCTTTCCCCCACATTCTGAAGATATTTCACCAATAATTCTGATCTAAACTTCCAGTGCAATAGTCGAAAGAAAAAACAAAACTTTTAAGCCATTAGTTTATATTAATTAGCATACACATCAATATAAATCACAAACTTACCTACTAAGAAATAAAAGAAAAATTAAACAATTCTACTGTTCTAGGGATCTTTAGACATCTGCGACAATATCATGTCCGTATTGACGGTTTGTGCCTAAAAACTTTCTATTGACATATATGTTAATTAGAAACCAGTGATTGTCGACAAGAAAACACTGTCACTTACACATAAAGAACCAGTAGAGGTGTTTACTCTTCGACAATCACTGTTCACAAAAATTAAAAAGAGCAGAATCTTATTTTCCAGAAAGTGCCCTCAATTTGGCAAACCTTTTGTAGACTGTACTGTCAGATTTCACTTACAGATCGGTTGTAGAGTCTCAAGTGAATTCCTAAACATTCAAAAACCAACGTGTGAATTACATATAAAATTGCCAGCAAGTTCTGCTGACTTTGTTCACTCACTTATTTTCTTCGTTTATGTAGATTCATCTTACTGTGACTTTCTTAATTAATTGTTCTCATAATTTGAAATATTAAGTTAATTATCATTTGATATCCATCAACAAACCTTCCGAACTCGCGCAAGTTAAGTTTTTACTAAGATTTCGAGCATTTTCTGGACAAGAAGATTTCACCCCGTAAAGTTTGGGTACAACCTCTATACTTTGCATCAAATAAATGCTCCCTTTTCACAATATAATAAATACATATCATATTATCGGGGCACTATACAAAATTACATTCAGTATATAATATTGATGATTATAATTAATACCTAGTGCCTAATAATAGTGTATTACCTCTAAAGCTATCTACTCGTTATATAATCATCATTCAAACATTGAAGCCAGATCGATAAAAAAATATCGCAATATAGACATTTTCAAATACCTTCACTTTTGAATCGATAAAATTTAATCATTTTGGTTATTGTTTTCAAGAACAATAATAGGAACTTCAATTAACCGCACAATTTGAAATTTTCCCAGACATGAGGAAAGCTTATTTATGGCGGTACTTTATCTTTAATGTTTTTTGTTTGGTTTTAACCCTTTCAGTCATGTTGGGTATAATTGTAACCATTAATTTGAATGCATATATAATTCTACAGGAATTTTAACTTACACCGGTTTAAATTTACATTCTATAAGTATAATACTTCTGCGTTTTGTACCCAGATGGCGCATGGATGGTTTTATTCTAAAAGAAAATTAATATCAAAGGCAATATGGGAGGTAAGTGTACTTGTTTCTTCAAATATCTTTCATTCAGTTGATATGCCCCTAACAAACTCTTGGTTAGAATATAAACGAGACAAACATACTTTAGGAATTCCACAAAAAGATATGGACTTTCTACACTTAAGGATGAAAGTTGTCGAGGTCCTCATAAAAGTCAACTCTTTCAATAACCGAAAACGGGGAAGACCTTCAAGCGACACATCTAGTCCAGTAGTAGCATAAACGCCAAAACATTGAAATTAGACCTCTTACTGAGGATAATATTGAACATTTTCCAGAGCACCCACAACTACCTTTACCTTTTAGATGCAAAAACCCTGGTTGTACAGGAAAATGAAGATGGAAATATCAGAAGTGTTTATCTCCATTTGGGCCTTCAAAAGGAAAGAAATTGCTTTTTTTATGTTTCATATGCGCTAGTTTTTTAGATTTGTTAAGTATTTTTGGGTACAAATGAACCCAATTGATTGTTATTATAATACTAAATCGGTAGGGTGATACCAACAGCGTCAGACAAAATTTCTTATATCTTGACGGAATCTATAACACTGAAAAAATCATAGATTTCAGAGACAAATGAGTAAATTTTCCGTAGTTCAACAAATTAGGTGACCGATATTTACCCAAATCTGGGAAAATTTCAAAACAATGTTCTAAAATTAGTTCTGATAGCAGATTTCGTAATCTCAGGTCTGGTGTGAAGTTCGTATTATTCTTCGAAATCAATAATTCGACAAAAATTATTCCCTTTTGAGCTATTGCGATATTTTTTTGGAAAAAGTGAGTTTAGGATATCGTACGTTCTGGCATTTCGACAGATACCACAAATACCTAAACCTTCCCACTAAGGTTAACCAGAAAAGCACCTATCGAATATTAGTAGCAAGATTCGAAATGTGGTAGGAGACGATCGATGTGATAAATATACCGCCACACACGCATTTTTTTAATTAATTTAAAAATTTAACACAAAAATAATATGTAAATTGATTTTAGAAAAAAACCACTAATTCTATGCAAAGTATAGCTTGTAAAATTAGTTGCTATCCTTCTCTTTTACATTGCTTGTGGTCACTTTTCGCGCAAAGGAAAAAAATCATTAAAACATATTACATAATATACTTGATATTCCAATAAAGAACCAATATAAAGGTTACTTGATAAAAAATTATTATAATAAACAATACAAATGAAAATTGTCACATGCACTAAGAATTTTGTGCACACAAAAAAATGAAACCTTTCCAAATGCATTCGAGACATTCATCTGGGAATCACAAAGCGTTTGTTTCTTCCAATTCTCATGACAGTTCCCCTGTTTGTTCTTAAACGAACCGAAAATTGTTGAAAAATAAATAAAAAGTAGTTTTTTGCGCGTAAAGTGACCAAAGCAAAGACGCAATACGTGATACAAGAAAATATACAGACTAAATGAACGCTCGGTGGGAGCGACGAAAAAAGTATTGGTTTACCAAGAGAAGAAAGCTATACAATAGTCAATTTTATATCCATTATCACTTTTTGTTGCCGTGTGCCCTTGAGAAAATTGCTGCCTCAAAAACGTATGACAAAACTATAGAGAAACCGAATTTGAATGTTATACAGGAAATGGATAATTATAGGATTGGATCTATATGACTGTATTGTTAGCTGTTCATTTTTTGGTCATGATTTTGAGGTACTCGAGGGCATGATGAGCTGCCGATCCCTTGGCTTCTTTCGGAGTTTTGCCGGTGCCGTAGCAGACAGCCACTGGCAAGGTGGATAGCTGCACCAGGCACTGGTGGCGACCCGTCAACGTTTTCTCTTCGATGTCCACGTAGGTTACCTCGAAGGATTGTTCGCTGGCGATCTCCTGCAAGAACTGAACGAAGTTGAACTCCTTGGAGTTAAAGCTGAGAGTCTAGAACAAAAAAAAGTTCGGTTTAATGGAGAGCCAATATAAACTTTATCAAAGATATAAATTAAACGTGCTTACTTAATTCATTTATTTCATTTTCTAATTTTTTCTAGTAGACGAAAAAATAGCAAATAAAAAGCCCTAAATATTTTGTAATAAACAAAATTTGCCAAATATTAAACATTATTTTTTACTTATAAACAATGTAAGATTGCTATTTGATTTTAAATAGTAAAGGTGAAGACCGATACATTATATGGAAAATTGATACAATAAAACTGTCAAATAGTTTCACTTAAGTTATTGCAAAATTGAAATTGAGGAGGTTTCCGGACAAGGGGCACATAGGTCTATGTGCCCTTTTTCCGGTAATCGTTTTAACTGAACGGCCGTATTTTAAAGAGTAACTCTACAAAGTTTCATTCCTGTATCTTTGTTCTATAATGTGTGGGAGATTTTTGAATGCAAGTTGGTACACCTGTTTTGGGCAATATCATGTGGTGTTGACAACAAACTGATGACGGTCTCTGCTTTGTTATTGAGTTCAAGATTACGTTTTACTTTAGGTAAACTAATAAGAGTATTCATTTCTGTCATGGAAGGTGTTGGTATTATTAAAAAGAAAACTAAAATTGATTCTCATGAAAGTGTGAAATGTGAGTGTTCTAAGAAGTGTAACGTAGAATAATACATCAATCGTTCTCAGATTGAGGTTATGGTAAAGGAGTTTTGTATTGTAAGTAGTCGTTGCTTGGACAGTTGCTGTAATAATATCGATGCAAACTGTCAGTTACAACTTTACGATAATTTTTATAGTCAATCTAAATCACTTCAAGATGCCCATTTGGCTAGTTGCATGAAAAAATCTGACAAAACAAATGTCAAGACACACCAAAAGAAACCTTGTGTCAATGTGTGGTCTTATGTGAATAATATCAACGGTCTACAACTAAAAGTGTGCCAAAAGTTTATTTTAGTATTATTTCAAATTTCAGTGAAACGTGTCAGAATTATTCAGTTAAAAATCTTAGAGGGCTTAGACTTTGAAGAGAAACGTGGCTTACATAAAAATCGCCCTCATAACTTGACTGAGGATGTCATTGACTTTATGGGATCTCATTTATCATCTATTCCACATGACAAATGCCATTATTGTGCAGAGAAAACATCCATTTTGTATTTTGAAAACCCAGAATTGGGCGTGAAAGACCTTTATAGAAGTTTTCAAGAATATTATTAAGACAAGACCGGGCGGAAACTTAAAATGTCCTATGTGCATTATTTTAGAACTTTTTAATATCATTTCAACTATGGGTTAGGGCCCCTAAGACAGATGTTTGTGATTTCTGTTCTGAAAGTGTGGAGAAACTGAAGCGAAATCCCTTAGACGAGTGTAAAGTCCAGTTCGAACTACACAAAAGAAAAATAAAGAGGCGGCAGTACTGGAAGAACCATTTCATTGAACAGTCAAAGACAGATCCTACTCTGGTAGTCTTAGAATTTGACTACGGTCAAAACTATCCTATCCCCAAACTCAACGTAAACAGCCAGTTTTACAAAAGAATGTTGTGTCTTTATGCTTTTAATATTCACAATCACAAAGATGATTCATCCTATTTTTATTGGTTTATGGAAACACAAGCAAATAAGAATGCCAATTATGTTGTGTCATTTTTGTTCAAATGTTTAAAAAAAATTTTTGTTAAGTATCCTGATGTAAAAAATATAGTTCTATTATCAGACGCGACAGGTGGCCAAAACAGGAATGCAACTTTACTTAAGTTTTGTTCTTGGCTTTCAAAAATTCGTAAGGTTACAATAACACACCTTTATCCTGTTAGAGGCCATTCATTTTCACAGTGCGACAGGAACTTTGGGATAGTGCGCTCTAGTATTAAGAAAACAGAAAAGCTTGGAACTGCAATACCTTGGCTAGAAGCCATTGTAACATCAAGACAGAACCCTTCCAACTTCGAGATCTTAATGGACCGATCCATTATAAAAAACTGGGAGACAGCCTTGGCTCATTTTTTCAAAACAATTCCAGTTTCTATTCATGAAAAATTTACCATCATGAAGTATGTGATGATAAAGTTCAATCCAAATGGAACAACCCTCACTTCTAAAAACTACCACCCAACATTCACTCCCTTCCAATATATGAACAGAGTAAGCATTGAAAAATTAGAAGAAGTTCAACCTTTGACAGTTCCTTTTCCAGAAGTCAGCGAAGCAAAGATTAAGGATGTGAGAAGTTTGTATAAACATTTGGACATAGTGCTGAATGGCTTGAGTGTATGCTTAACGAGAAACAGTAAATGAGGCTACTTTAATATCTTTTCCTTTCAGATTTCAAATCAATGTATTGTTTTTTAATAGACCTTAGTATAGTATACATATTGGAACATTTATAATGTTATTTTCTATTTGAATTGTATAAAAAAAGTAATCTAATATAACCCGATGTTGATTTATAGTACTTTGTTACGATCAATACAGGAATAGCTGTGTAATTCTAAAAGATGTTAATATATTTATTTGTTCTACCCATGTTCTCACATTACAGTTTGTAGAAAATAACCTTAAATCACACAAAATAAATGAAAGTTTTATTTTTGAAGAAAATTTGTTAAAAAAATTCCAGAGACCACCCATAATAGTGTTGGATAATGCATCCTACCACTCAAGAGTAGAAGAGAGATTTCCTCCAAGCAGCTGGACAAAAGAAGAAATAAAGTTGTGATTGACAGAAAAGAAAATTTGATATTTGATACTGACCAAATGGCTCTTAAATATGGCCATGAAGTTCTTCGACTTCTGGAATACTGGAAAGCATACAATTTAAAACACGCAGTCGACAATGCTGTGGATGCTTGGGTTGATTATCAGCCCAAGTCGCTGATGTTTCGGACGTAACGTTGAAAAGAGCGTACAATAAATTAGGGCTGAATCAACTGTTTTACGTTGCCGAAAGATGACATAAACGAATGGTTAATTTGTGATAGGACGCAAACGGCTATCGATATCAGAGGCGGAAGAAACTGATTCAGAAGTTGATACAGACTATGACGGTGGCGTTATTGATGATGCTATTGCTACTCACAAAGGATTGCGTAACGAAGCTAGAGAAGCTACATCACACATACAACAATTCATCGAGTGGTATTCTCGACAAGAAGAAGCAAATAAGGTAGATTTTATGATTTTACGTCGATTAAGAAATTCAGCCGTTACAAAAGGGTGAAATAACAATAACATAAATATTTTGAAATAGTTTAAATTAAATTCATTCGATTATAACATACAGCCCTCTTATATTGTCAAATAAAACATACAAATAAAATGAGAGTTATACAGTGAATTTTTTTAAATGTTTTGTTAACAGTCTTTTCGATTATCCGTCATCCCCTTCGAGGTTCCACTGTAATCCTTATCTATTTTTTAAATTCTCGATACTATTATTTCAAAAACTGAATTAAAACCTTAAAAGTAAGTACCTGCAAGTCAGCCAACTTCTTGCCTTCGGAATTTTTCAGCGTTTTATGGAATTGGGAAACTTTGTGGGACTGGTTGCCCAACTTGGTAATCTTAGTGTCTTTCAGTCCCGAATACCGATTCTCAGCCGAGCTGCCGAGTTTAGTTGCCAACTAAAACAGAATAAAAACACAAAATTGAAATGAAAGTGTGCTATGATAATTTTTTACTTTCTTTCAAAACTCGAAACGGTACATACTTTGTGTCATTTCAATTTTGCACTTTTACTCGTCTATTTAAAAAAGCCGTGCTCATTTCGTTCGCGCAAGAACTGAAAGACAGTAAAATTACCGTAGCACAAAAAATTTAGCAACTAATCTTTTTTGTTTAAAAAAAAATAAATAAATGAGCAAAAACATAAAATTATGATTCTTCTCAGAACATTCTTTCAGTTGTAAAGTATTCTTGTGTTTTACACAAGTCTAGAATGATTGCATGCAATTTGAGACAAATTTGAAAGTGACATTTTATTGTAATTTGAGTTAAAAAAGAAAATTTTGCTCACTTTTGTAAATTGGTTTGTTGCAAAATATGTAATAATCGAAGAGGTGGATTTCAAAAAGGGGATTGGAAATTCACGTTTTGAGATTTTAGTTAGATCTGATTTTAGAGCATCAACAGCTGGTAAGTGTTTGCTCATGCACGATTACAGCTGTCAGCATCTATTTGCTATGAGTTTTTAGCTATGTTGACTGTTTGAGGTGAAGCAAGTGAGTAATCAAAAACGTGTGTTATAAGAATAAAATGAGTTTAGATTTTGTAACAAGTGATTTTTCAGTATCTGTAAACGACATTAATAGTGCCAAGAGGAAGCGAGACAAAAATGAAGACCTGTGGGACAAAAATTTCAAGAAATTCGCAAGAAATAGTAAAAAGCTCATCCAGATCTTTATATTGTTTGTGCTCATAAGGTGATGTTTGTAAGGCATATCTATTAACTCCTATAAGTAGCTTTTATGATAAAATACACTCACATAAGACTGTTGCTGATCAGAATAACTTCATATTCAAATACCTTCTAGATATGGAAAACATAATAGCTCACATTTCTTCTTTCAAAGACTGCCAAAGTCATTATACACGGAGATTGGACAGAAAGAAAATTTATCTACCATCAGAGTTAAATGTAAAAAATATGTACAGAGCCTTTAAAGAATTTCACCCACAATCCAAAGTCTACGGTTTCTTACTTTGTTTATTAAAACATATTTCAAACTCGATTTAACATATCTTTTTCTTACCCCAGATGTGACACGTGTACATTATGTGATGAAACTGAAACTCAACTCAAACTTCCAAATATCTATAAATCAACAAAAAAGGAACAGGTTCAAGTGAGACACCTTTTTCACGCTAAAGCAAAGGTATTTTATGATATAAAACGAACATTGAAATTACATGTCAGCATAGTAATAATGTATCTGCAATAGTCTTTTGACTTTATGCAAAATCTTTCGCTACCAAAATTGACTACAAATAACCCTTGACCAATGTGGTGAATTAATTCTACACAAACGACGTGGTAGATTCCCTGGGACTCCATGTTGTCAAACTGACAATTTGTCTTCTGAATGTTATGTTGTAAGTTATTGAAAGTTAATTTTTTGCTACATTGCAAACAGATCGGTTGTTTACACTGTATACACAGAAAACTGGTCTTCCTTTTCAATTTTGGGTTACATAAATAGCAGTACTTCCTAGCGTTCCTGAGTAAGGTATCTGTATCATCGTCACTTTCGGTTGGATTTATTCTTAGCACCTTTTGAATGCTAACTCTTAGTTCTCTTGGAAGACGTTGGTTAATTTCTCGTTCTCGAAGAAGTGGTTGATATAGTTGCTGTGCCAAATTTTTAGAAACTCATTTTTCGTCTACTGCATCTACGCCTGCTTTTGTATTATTATAAAAGGCATTTATTTCCGGTAATCCAGTTTCGATATCATCTTCTTTCGTGTGATGCAGCGGAGATATTAAAAGCACAGCCCTATTTTTCTTTGGCACTCGAGAGATTATAGTGTTAGTTTTTGTAAATCCGTATAAAGTTGAGTTTACAGATCTTGATCTAGATGGTAGGAACTCTTTAGGAATTTCTCTCTTATTCCTTTTCATAGTGCCAACATGTTAAATTATTATTTAATAAAACATCTACAAGTTAATAAAACATACCACTGATGTATACCAGTTGTCGCCTGTAACATTTCTATTACTGCCAAAGATCGGCTTGAAAAGGCGAACCACTGCTTGGGAGGGAATAGTTTTTTTCTTCTGTAGTCAAATCCTCCAATGCATCAGATCCTTTTCTAGAATATATAAAGTGTTGTATACATAGTGGGTGCGAGGATCTGCTAAACATTGAATCTTTATTCCATACTTTTCGGGTTTACTTACATTTTAAACCTACATCGTCCTCGAAAATCGACTAGCATTTCATCGACTGTAGTATTAGCACATAGTACATAAGAATTTTGGTTGAATATCTTTAAAATATGGGAAATTGCGGCAGCTGGATCAGTTTTAGCTCGATTCGCTCTTTCATCTCGTGTATCAAATCGTAGTCATATTTGTCTACGTTCTGAGAATGTCGTTCTAAATATTTCTCTCCCCGTACCATCAGTAGCAAACAGTGCGTTGATGTCTTCATGGTTAGACTTAGGGTTGATCTGCACCCCCCAAAAGATAAATTCCAAATTCAAAAAATTTGAAAAAATTTGAGAAGGTGTATGAGATGAGTAGAAGTATTTTGACAACTTTTAAGCAAACTTCATGTTTTCGTTTTAAAAAAAAACTCAAAAAAACTACTTTTTTCCAAGTATAAAGCGGGAAAACCAGACATATAATTTTGTTCATTTTTTTACAGCATCAAGATATAATTATAAGAAATACTTAGGAATTTTTTGAAAATTTTTGAATTTACAGTTTTGTCCCAATAGGAAAAAATAATATGTTTCTGCTTATAATAAAGCTTCCGGTAAGAAACCAAAATTTTTTTTAATAACAACATATATAAAACTGTAAAAGTGGAAAATATTTGCAATAAAACTTTAAAAGCATTACGTTGGCTGCGAAACACTTCAAACGAAACGACATAGTAACAGGGTTGCCATATCAATTACTTTGCACAACAATTTGGCAGATTATTACAAAACTTGGTAGGAATGTTATCGGTTTGAATTTTGAACTGGTCATGCTGAAACTTACAGAGTTACAAAATAGTAGATACTGCAACTTTTATTTTGAAAGTAGGATATTATAAAATTTCCACTCTATAAGTAGTAATATATCTATAAAAAACTTATTTAGTTTTAAAAACCTATTTAGGCGTTTTTGGACATCTCAATGAGATCAGCCAAGAATATGTCGACAATACATCGTCGAACTATTGGTTGACTTCTGGAAAGATGTTTCCCGAAACTGAGGGTTTCCTACTTGCCATTCAGGATCAGGTAATTCCAACTAAAAATTACCTAAAATATATTGTTAAAGATCCTCAAGTCCAAAATGACAAACCGACCATCTTCCTTATTATCTATATGTCCCTGACAGAATGCTTGAAAATGACAACTACAAGCTATAGTGGGACCGCACTGTGCTCACAGACCATCCAGTGGCCCATAATAGACCGGATCTCATACTAGTGAATAAAATCACTAGGCAAACAACACTTATTGATGTGGCGATACCTAACACTAATAATTTGCGTGATAAATACAACGAAAAGATCGCCAAATATAGAGATCTGGAAATACAAATCAAGAGACAATGGAAAATACCCAGACAGTACCTATTGTTCTATCTACTACTGGTGTTATTCCCAAAAACCTCCTAGCGAACATAAAACAGCTGGGTCTAGACGAAATCTTTATAAGGCCATGCAGAAAGCTGTACTCCTCGCGACGTCCAGATGTGTACGAAAATTTCTGGGAGATACTCCAACATACCAAGTCACCTAGGGCTCGATAACACGGGAAGAGTCCCACCAGAGCTCAATCCTTTTGATACCGTAGGTATCTGGGATGAGTGAATTTTCCCCTTAGAATGAGTGTGAGCCGTATGGCTAAATCTGGATAATACTAAAAAGCAAACTTAATTCAAGGCACATAGTAAAAGCAATAAACACATACGCAATGACACCTTTCACATAGTCCTCATTTGGCGTTATAAAATTGTAGAATACGGAAACTGCAGAACTAAATAGAGCAAATAGAACCGTAATAACTAAATAAGCATAAACCACTCCAAATAATACATCCAACGTATGACTAACATGCACACAAGGCGGGAGAAGAACGGGGTGTTTTGGAAATATCACCCACTACTTAAAAATAAAAAAAAAACAGCAAAAAGAAACAAAGACAAAAATACATAGAGTAGCGATTAGTCCGATGATAGCATAAGGGGCGGAAGTAATGTGTCTTACGAAAAAAGATGAAATAAAAGTAAGAATTATTAAAAGAAAAATTATAAGAATAAACAGACCAATAAAGCCAGAACAATGAAGCATGAAATAAGAAATATAAATATAACCGAAGAAGAAGACATAGTAAAATTTATTAATCCATAAAGACTGAGATAGTAATAGATTTAAATAACATTTTTGTTATTTCCCACTAAAATATTACATAATCATAATACCAGATCATTTAATTTTTAACTATCAACAAAAATGTAATATAATATGATGTACGAATTTAATGGTAATATGATATTGACAAAGAAAGCCGCAACATACATAATTTCTTTGTGGGTAAAATTGTTTAGATAATAAATGAATTAGGTATATTATATTCCGACTGACATAGCAGAACAGTAAAGTATTATACATAAAGATGTTGTTATAAGATATCTTTGCTTAGTTGGTCTACTAGTAACCATATAAGTTATAGCATATATTTGATAAAATTACTGTCTACACAACTTGGCAACTCAGCCAATTGATATAATGACAGAAAACTGCAATTTATGTTAGGATTTGAAAATATTACAGAGTCGTCATGTAGAAATCTACAATTAAGTTAAAAAATTTACCACAGTAGTATGCCGCAGTAGAGCCATCTCTAGGATCAGAAACAAATTAATCGAGGGTGAAGATCAACCTTAAAGACTGATGTCAATAACAGAAGGCCCAAAAATCTATTGATCTCTGTATTATTTGGTTTCTCTAAATTCTGTGCGGTTGTAATTTCCGTCCTTGTCGCGATATTCCCTCAGTTTGACATTTGTGTAATATAAACAACATATATGTCATAATATATGTCAACAACATCTCTAGAAAAATTTTAAGCCACGCGACCACGGGTTCCATCTGTGTCAAAAATACTTTGATAGTAGGTAAATAAATTAGAGCAGGTGTTCTAACATTGCGAGTAGGTTTAACTGATGCCCATTTGTACCTATTTTTTCCATAAAAGTATCGTCTGTTTGGATCCACTTCATTCATTGAATCTTCATCAGACTCCTGACTTTCGTTCGATTGACCATCGTTAGTATCGCTAGCATAAATCTCGCTCTCAGAGCTACGGTCACTCAAAATTGGTTCTTCGTGTTTACTGTTTGGGTGTCGTCACCATCTTGGTGGGAAAAATCACTATCGGGCTCTTCGTGCAATCGCCCAACAATTTCTTCAAAATTAGCATCGTCTGGATGTACACTTTTTTTTACTTTTAGAAACCGACATTGAAATAAAAACTAACACAAACCATGCCGGTTAAGGGATAAAGCTTTCTACAGCAGACAACTTTGATACTATATATTTGGTGAGCACGATATCGGACGCAATGACGTCCATATGTATGCCTATCACGAAGAAATGGCTAAACGTGGTCAAAATGAAGCAATTTCCCTGGTATTTCATTATCTAAAAGATCATATATTCGGTAAAATGGATTTTTCTCTAATGGTTGCGCAAGTCTAGATCTTTATCCGTTTTTCATGTGTCCTGGTGCATGTGCTGCAACTGGCACTAGAGATAATACACGTGTACCCAATACGAGGATATTCATACCTACCTTGCGATATTAACTCTTCGTCTCATTTCTCGTGTAAAAAAGTACTTGTTAATGCTGAGAAAGAAACTGACTGGTTTGTTATGGACGAAAGTTTAAAGGATTTATTTTTAAAGAATCCAAACCCAAAAATTTTATTGAAACCAGCAAGAATGGACCGAATATCTGAGAAGTATGCTGGACAAGTTTTAGTACGTCAAAGTTATCACGGCCCATGGACGTTCAACACCATTACTGCAAAAACAACATCAAAACAAATAACTCTCGATACCAAATGAAGCGAAAAATAAAATAAGTCAACCAAAGTTTCGCGATCTAATGGAGGTTATTAACAATATCAAGAATCCTCTTAATAAAGAATTTTATCTTAATCTAGAACCTGAAAAAAGACTTATACAAGACATAAGAACAATAGTAGAGTAAAAAGCAGATATATAGACACTACTTACGAGAATATAACCGTTCGTGACGAAAACTTCTGGGCCCAAAACATACTTCGAACTGCTGTTGACTCTTGACACTGCCACAAACAATAAATGACCCCAGCAGCACGTTCCATACAAATAAATTGACAACCTGGAGGATTCTTGGTTGTTTTTGCTAACTCATCGTTCTTATTCGACCACAGGATCAATGTTTGTAATTTCCCAAACCAGTGGTACCTGTCCGTAGGAAGGCAACGAACACATATGTCTCTAACAACGCGACTTAACAATAAAAATAATACAAAAACAAAACCATTCTCAATAAACAAACTGTTTCCTCGTTGACTCTTCAAAAATAAACAAATAAAATAAAATGTTACGAAAATAAAAAAATATTTATTCGTTCAGTCTTACACTACATAATTAACTAAATTAAGCCTCACACATTACCTCTTCGTCGCTCGCAAATGTAGAAGGTAGATTGTTACCTTCCACGGGTAGATCTTGCAAAGATTGCCACATTTTGTGGGCCGCCATTCTCTTGGCTAGCTTCTTTGACTTGCCGGTGCCGATTTCACGGAATTTCAACACCTGAAAATAGACAAAATATAGTTAATATCACTTAAGGGAAAAATTCTGAATGGTTGGCTGAGTACCGTAATATAAAAACTTCTTTTTTGTAGTAGGTATATTCAGTGGCTGCTAGTGGTTATTTAAAAAGGGTGTTAAACGTTCATAAATTTGGCCATACACTCATATTTTAAAATAATAACAAGTTGCTGATGGGTAGAAAAATTAAGATCACACTGAATGGATGCAAACCGTGCCTCTGACACCTATTTTTAATCTCTTCCTGGTAAACACTCTAATATGTTATGTTGAACTGATTTTGACATACGTTTAAAAACAATATTTCCCTGCAAATTTTGTTTCATAGCCATATCACAAAAATTTACACAATTGATAAGACGAGACAAAATAACGATTTTTTAGCTTATGGCTATATCGTTAGTGTAATTCGCATATTGCATAACTCTTCATCATTTTTTTTTTCAAATATGACTTTTTGCGCCATCTGATAAAACGATATCATATCTTTAGCCTGAAAAATACCCATCTTCGCAGCATTCACCGTTTCGCAATAAAAGCTGTCACAAAAAATTGCCTAATTAAATTGTTGACAAGCAGAATGTTTATCTCCCGCCATTTGTATTGGTTGGCGCAAGTAGTTGTTCTTAAACTTTATCGTAAAAATCTTCAATTTTTGCTTAAACTCTGCGTGTTCTTTCATATATCATAAGAAAGGTAAGTCTATTTTTTATTATTACTTATGCACAAGACGTAGGTACGAATATTTCCACAATAAATATGACTACTTTTTACTGTTATTAAACAATTTTAATTTTTATTTGTACTAATTTAGCGTTTAATAATATGCATACCTATTTTAAAAGTCAGCAATTATTCTCTAGCGAATTTATTTATATTTGAATGCTTTCGTATTTAAGATGGAATGATTTTCGTTGAAATCTAGTTACATAAAAAAATGTGTAAAGTTAGTTTCTTTATTTTAATATTAAAGTAAAAAGTAAAATAGCTCTGCACATTTTATTTTTGTTACAGAAATGGCTAAAAGAGCAGACAGGATTATAATACTTCTATGAGTGCCGTCAAAGTTAGAAGACACTGAAAAAAGGACTCTTTTGCAGTTAAAGAGCCTGATTTAGACAACTTTACTCTTGCTTTATCCACGAAACAAAGAAGAAAGCTTGTTTCAATCATGTTTGTGAGGAAGAACCGTATAGCTAATGGATTTTGACAAGAGCTATGACCTTGTAAATAACAGGTAAGCTTGTGTACTAAATCGGCATGACTCATAGCTCTTGTCAAAATCCATTACCTTTACATCATAATGAATTTGGGTGATTTTAATATTACAAACACAGAATTACAGAATGATCAGAAGAAATGCATGCAAAAAATGAACTGCCAAGACAATGAGATGTCCAAAGACCCGGATTTAATAATCATGGAAGCGAAGATGAAAGAAGAGATAGGTAGTGGTTTTGAAGAATATGAGTAATGAAATATGTAAAGAAAATGATCCTAACAACACTACACTGAATCCAAAAGAATCAACAAAAAGTTCAAGGTCTAAAAGGAATAAAACAGACAAAAACATATCGAGCAAATAAGAGAACTACAAGAATAGAAAAATTGGGCTTAAGTATCAGGAAAGAAAAAGTGTGAAAATGATTAATGGAATTACAATATAGAAAACCGGCAAAAACTATGAAACCTCGTTGCAATTACAAGTTAAGTAGGGACAAGACAACATTGAGATGTGGTTCTATTTCTGACAAGGCTAGATACAAAATATTCGACAACTTTTGAAGAAAAACTTGGTATGAGAAAAAAAATGTTGTGAATACATTAGTAATTGTGAAACCTACAGATACATGAAGGAGAGAACGGGAAATATCTAGAAGGCAAACATTGAATGAGTTTTATTTAAACGCTGAACATAATTAAATGCGAGTATGAAAAAAGATGTTTTTAAATACACTCTATATTGGAGGAATTGCCATAAAGAAGTGAGACAGAGAAACAGTTCCAGATAATAAGTAAGTTGAAAAGTAGCCGAAAAGCGGAGAAGCAATAAAAACTTAACAAATATTTTCGACAAATTACCAAAACGTGAGTCTCACTACTGCAGGCAAATAGTTCAAAGTTATAATTGGAAACAGTATGGCAATCAAAAGCACAATTATATAGAGCTTACTGCAAAGGGTTTTGTGGGGAAATAATATAAAACCCATGTCAACAGCCACCTTTTCCACAATTTTAGATCAGCAAAATTTATCTTTATACCAGCCTAAAAAGATAAGTGCGATGTTTGTGTAGCTTTTGAAACAAAGAATATTTCGCAAGATGAGTACAATTTTCACATTTTTGTGAAAAACGAAGCACGTCAAGAAAAGGTTACTGATAAAGAATCAGATAATGACGTTTTTACAATTGATCTGCAATCTGTGCTAATCAGTTCACAGTCGAATGTGAGCTCACTCTATTACAAAACAAAAGTTTCTTTTAGAAAGGTAGAGGCCCAGATGGAAGCAGACAGCATGCATTCTACGGTAGAAAGATTGATTCGAAAATCAACTATTAATCTACTTGCCGACTATGCAATAATATGCAAAAAAGCATGTTTGAAAAATCCCTACAGAATAGAGTACTTATCGCATGATTTAAAAAAAAAAAAAAAAAACATTGAAGGTAATGTAAATTTTATCTCATCAATACGACCTGGAAAAAAAGTCGGAGATCTCCAGGTAGTTAACCTAAAGGCAATTAAATATACAAACAAAAATATATTTTACATAATTAGACCTTCTGAATTGGAATTGTAAACTTTTCCTGTCAGATGACCTGCAAATCCAAAATTTTTAGATTTTAACTCTTTGTCTGCATTATACAGAGGTAGAATTTCCATTAAGAAAGAAAAATATGAGCATTTGCAACAACTGAAGAAAAGTATAGAACAGGACTACCATTTATTTTATGATCAGCTACCTCATAATTAGCCTTGTGCTTATTTGATTTTATATTTTCTGATTAAAAATCATTTTTCTGTTACAATTACCGATGTGTAATTCTTATGTTACCTACTGGTTAATTTGCATTAAAAAAATAAATTTTTTTCTGAAAATTGCGCATTTACATTTTGCTTTCAAAATATCAGTTCGCAAAAAGCGTATCTCCAATTTTATTTAAAACAAAAACAATATTTCATCTAAAAACCAAAAATAGAACATTCAAATTCTATCTGAGTTGACTAGTAGTCGTAAAAACTAATTTCTTTCCAATTGGTAACAAGTTTAATCACTTAAATTCGTTCGTAGTTTATTCGCTCTCCCGTAAAATTTTATAAAATGAAATTATGCGAATTACACTGAAAACAAACACAAACTAAAAAGACAACCCTAGTTATTGCTGCTATTTACTATATAGAAAATTTCGAATTAATAAAAAACATGCTCGGAAGTTCACGGTATACAAGAAGATAAAACATATTTTCCATAATTTGATTTAAGATTCGAACTATATTAGGATTTTACATTTAAACATACCTAATAAAAAGAAGTTGTTATACTCACTCTTTATGTTTAGACAAAATATAAGTTATGTGTTAGTGGCAGAAATAATACAGAAATGACTGATCTCAGTGATCTCAATCTCAAATCAACCTAAAATAATTCAATAATTATTGTCTTGTGTTGTGTATGGTAGAATTATCACGTCACGATTAAACTGCAGACGCAGTTAAAAATATTTAATGGCAGTTTCTTACTATAATTTATATCACGTGACAAATAACCATATCGATTTCAAAGCCATCTCAAACGTGTTTATCTAACAATAACAAATATTTATAATATTCCTCGCTGAAGTGACTAACAACTGCTGATTTGACAACAAATTATAGCAACGGTTTTTCTAAGTAATACTGGTTGCTTATGTGACGTAACATTTTCGGTGAAGTTGACAGTGACTAACTAACATTATTGCTAATTCAGCATCAAATAAGTACCTAGCATTAGCATTAAATACAAAACGCAGAAACACAACTTTTTAATATCATTTAAAATATTATCGATAAATATCTATGTGATAGTAGTAATTGTGTAATGTGCGAAAATTGGGGCGTTGTATTTTTAATGTATTAATTAGTAGGTAAGTATTATGGGTTAACGTAGAATTGGGTAACTTTGATTGTCTAAGGTGATTTTGATAGAACATGAATATTTTGTTTCAAGAAAGTATGCAACCCAAATGTTTCATCCGTTATGGTGGTTGTCTAATTTCAGTGCACATGTTGATTAACTGTAGCGGAAGGCGTTTGTGGCGATTACCAAAAGTACACTCTTATAAATGCACTATTGAAGTTTTTGTTTTAATTTGAAGATTTTAGATTGTGTAACTAAATTTAAACATACAGCTCTTACCATATAATTTCAGGTAGTTTTGTGTATGTTGCCTTAATTTATGTTTAACTGTCAATATTTTAAAATATTTAACTAAGTTATTTCCGTGACTACTTCATGAAATTACATGATTTCTTCTACGGGGTAACTTTGATAAATTTTCGGGGTGATTTTGATATTTTATTTCTTTTTATAGTTTTCTTAAAGAAACTTCAAACCGTTAATTAATTACAGGTTTTCATCATTATATATATGAAAAGCCAAAATAGCCAGTTTATAAACGAAAGTTGGGATCAAGAAGCTACAAGAACTTCTCTGACGAAACTCTTGAATATGCTCTGCTTTAAACGGAACTTCCATAAACGGAAACTTGTCTGTTGAAAAGCCGCTTCAGAAATATTCAAAATTCCGTATGGTACTTTATATAATAAATACAAAGGGAAGCATGGGAAGAAACCAGGGGGTCAAAATGCGTTGTCGGCGATGGAGGAAAAATCAATCGTGTACTGCATTGTCAAATGTGCCGATTGGGGATTTTCATTATCGACGTTAGATGTACAACTTTTCACTAAGAGGTATGTATTTAGAAAGAACTGGAAGATACATTTCTAAATTTAAAAACGGGGTAAGTCCTGGTAACGACTGGGTAACCCATGTTTTAGAGAGGCATAGTCAGCAAATCTTTCAATTTAGATTACTAGAGCTCGAGCATGTATCACAAAAGAAACGATAGAATCATATTTCAATAATTTAATAACAATTCTCTCAAAATGCCCTCCATCGCACGTTTTCAATTACGACGAAACCAACGTTAGTGATGATCCGGGGAAAAGAAGATTGCTATATAGAAAAGGGACCAAATACCCAGAGCAAATCACTAATCATAGAAAAGCCGCCACATCAATGATGTGCGGTGCTGCTGATGGAACACTACTCCCTAACTCCCTCCTTATATAATATATCGCAGCGAACATATGTGGGATACATGGACATTAGGGGATCCACAGTGTAGTAGTGGATGTTGCGCAAGAGGAGCTAGATATAACCGAACAAAAAATGAGTGGATGGAGGTAAATTGTTTTACAGACTGATTTGAGACCATATTATTACTACACGCAAGGCGGCTGGAAGGTAAAACGTTATGATCGATGACAATTTGGCGTCTCACTTTTCAGATCATGTATTACAACTTTGTGAATTGCACAATATTGAATTTGCGTGCCTTCCCAATAATTCAACACACATATGCTAGCCTTTGGATGTATCCTTTTTTAAACCCATGAAAGATTCTTTACGAAAGATTTTGACAGAATTTATATTGCGACATCCAAAGATTACTGGTGTACCTAAAGATCAATTTGTGTCGTTATTAAAATAAAATGCTTGGAATTAATGGATCAGACAATTGCATAAAGTTGTGGAGACAGACGTTTTTAATGCCGATATCTTAGCAATTCTGAAGACCCCATATCGGTTAAAATAAATGAAACAGTAACGAAATGCGTATTTCCTGGCAGATTTGATGTTAAAGAAAAAATAACTTATTTTGTTTGCCTTTCATAATATATTCTTTTGACTTTTTTTTTACTATTTTATATTGTTTTACTAATTTGCTAAATGTTTTTTACCTCAATAAAGTATTAGCTTCTAGAATCATTTATTATATACTAATTATTGTGTCTGTAGCAACTATCAGTCGCCCCCAAATTAAAATTGAAATATCTAAAAATTGGCTTGATTGATTAAAAAATGGGTTGACATTGATATTCCTACAGCTTTTATGCATCGGCTAAACTATTTCAAAATGGGGTATTAAGGTGACCCAACATCAATGGGTGACTTTGATATACACTTTTTTATTAAAAAAAAAATCTTCAATTTGAAAACATATGTACTACCAATTTAAATTAAATAAACAAAATGCATCCCAATGGTGACTTTTTCATTTTTGGTATGAACCATTCACTCTAGAAAATGGGGAAAAAATTAACAAAGTTTTGAGGATTTTATTGGATTAACGAAAAATTTGGAGATTAATTATTATGGCAGTTAATTATTATAATTTTTTTGGCAATTGCCAAAAAACAATTAAGTCACGGATATATAATACCTATGTCTGAGAGAGTCTATCATACCACATATCTTTCGATTTTTTGAATTTTGGTGTCGATACAAAGAGTGACACACAAAAACATTACATACGTTTAATATTAATTAAATGTCTACTTGGAGATGGGATTTCAGTATAAAGTACCATTTTTAATTAACTTCGAAAAATAATATGCCTAACTAAACTTTATATTTACAATGCCAAAACATAAATACAGAGTGGCCCAAAAGTCTGGAAACGACCAATTATCTCGTAAAATGCTAATCATAATTGTACAAAATTTGAGATACGCCTATTTTGGGATACGGAGATTCCATATTTGATATTTACAATGTTGCCAGATTTGCCGTTTTTCTTATATTATTAGTAACTTTGGTTTTTCAAATACATCACCCTGTATATTCAGTCATTATTGAAATCTCCTATTCAATACGAGTTCAACCATATGTAACACTTATGATTTTATGTAATCTGGAAGGTCATAAATACATAAAACCGAAGTCTGGCAACGCCTAAATTGTTTTAATAAATTTTTTAATACTAACTATTTTCAAATACCTTAAAACGTAACAATTGATAGTTTAGAACATTTTTTAACATTTTTTCAAGTATCCCTAATAAAAATAATCTTTAGGATTGAAATGGGGTGAATGTGGAGGCCATTCAATTCTACCTTGTGTATCAATTTATCGTCCAGGAAATATCTCATCTAAATATCGCCGAACATTTACACCAACTATCTGACGTTAAATTTCTTTCGACAAAAAAATGACCCAATTGAATAAGTAACTACTATATCTGACCATACATTTAATTTTTGTGGTCTTTGAGTATGGTTTTCACGCATTCAGTCTTCAGTGGGAATTTACGTCACACCAGTACCTTAAATTGTGTCGATTTACACTTCCACACATTGTAAAAGCTGCTTCATCGGAAAACATATTCTGTTAACGAAATTTTAATAATTTTCAATTTTATCCATCATTACCTCAGTAAACTCTAATCTACGACCAAAGTCATCTTCACTTAATTCTTGCAATAAGTTAATTTTGTATGATTTAAATTTATTTTTACGTAATAACCGTAAGACTGAAGAATGACCTACATCATGTACTTGTGCAACCCTGCCTGGGGATGTATGTGGATCTTCAACAAAACTTTGCTTATATCTGAAGTTTTGTTGTCATTGATAACTCGTTTCGGTCAACCTGATCGGTATCTATCTTTTACTTCTCCAGATTACTCAAATCGCCTTACAGTTTTTTGTACGTCGTCTTATGAATAGGAGAACGGTTTAGAGAACGGCATTTTAGAGAAGCAATTTAAATTGCAGAACTTTTTGAACCACAACTACTGTCAATTTTAGTTCATAATTTAAATGGTGAACAAATGTCAAAATCACAGCATTCTCCATTCAAATATTTAAATTTATTAACATCTACATATTTTGCACTGTTTTATGTATTTAAGATCTTTCAGACTACATAAAATCAAATGAACATATGGTTGAACTCGTATTGAATAGCTGAACTCGTGTGAAATTCACACTGAATGCGTGAAAACCATACTCAAAGACCACAAAAATTAAATGTATGGTCAGTTATAGTAGGTACTTATTTAATTGGGCCATTTTTTATCGAAAGAAATTTAACGTCAGATAGTTGGTGTAAATGTTCGGCGTTATTTAGATGAGATATTTCCCGGACGATAAATTGGTAGACAAGGTAGAATTGAATGGCCTCCACGTTCACCCGATCTCAATCCTAAAGATTATTTTTATTAGAGATACTTGAAAAATTTAGTTTACAAAACTTAACCAGCAAGTCTTGCATAGCTAAGGCAATGAATTATCGATGAATCTCGAATAATTTCTAGACAATCATGGAGAAATGTGGTAGACACATTCTACCATCGATTAGAGTGCTGTCAACTCACAAATGGAGCACATTTTGAACACTTAATAACGTAACTATTATGTTAAAAAATATTCTAAACTATCAATTGTTACGTTTTAATGTATTTGAAAATAGTTAGTATTAAAAAATGTATTGAAACAATTTAGGCGTTGCCAGACTTCTGTTTTATGTATTTAAGACCTTCCAGACTACATAAAATCATAAGTGTTACATATGGTTGAACTCGTATTTAATAGGAGATTCCAATAATGACTGAATATACAGGGTGATGCATTTGAAAAACCAAAGTTACTAGTAATATAAGAGAAACTGAAAATCTGACAACATTGCAAATACCAAATATGGAATCTCCGTATCCCAAAATAGGCGTATCTCAAATTTTGTATAATTATGTCCAGTAATTTACGAGATAATTAGCCGTTTCCAGACTTTTGGGCCACTCTGTATAACGTCGTTCAGTACGTTGACTTTGCTACTATAGAAATAAATATTATCAATATAAAAATTGTACTTACTTGACATGCGATGGTAAACTGTCTTTCGTGCGGTAATCCCTCTTCGTGTTCCATTTCATAGAATGGTGGTGGCCATCTGCGGGACATGCACATCTCTTGGAGCCAGCCGATAGGATTGCCCATCACTTTGTCATCGAACGATGTCACTACCTGATTGGTGCTGGATAGCAAAAAGTGGTAAATGTGAATATTATTATAAAAAAATATAATACCTACGTATGAACTATAGAACTAAGAATCCAAGCAACAGAAGAGATACAAAAAAATATAGAACAATAGGAGAAAACAGAAAATCTGAAAATCCTGAAAAATATTGATATCTTTAACAAACAATTCTTCAAATAATGATTGTAAGAAAAAAGTCAATTCCGTCAGTATCAACAGTTTTATGATACCATATGATTTATTGTCTAATATTCCTTATCTTTTAGTATGGATCACTTTACTGAAGGAACTACTGTCTATAGACTTCATTGTCAACAAAAAAAGATACTTGACTTTACTTTAGATAAAGGGGGATTTAAATTGTAAAAAAATAATCAATGGGAAACAAAAGCAAACAAATTAATAAAAATAAAATTTTTGAATGTACAAAATTTTAGCACACATAAATCGATACCAAAGTATTATTCTTCTAAGGTGACACACAAACTAAAAATTAAATAGACATTGTAAACTTACATATCAGCAGCTCCGGGCGTTCCGTTGGTCTGGTTGGCTTGTTCGGGCGTTACTTTGCCGATCAAGAGATCCAGCAAGTTCTTGGCGGCTGAGTGTTTGGCGTCTTTCTTCGATCTTCCGGTGCCGGTGGCCACCAGATCGTTGTTAAGGAACACGCGGTAGCGGAAGATTGGCTCGTGGATGGCGCCCTCGATTTGGACCAGTTCGTATTTAGGAGTGATGCCTCGACGGCTCAGCAACTCCTGGAGGACGCTGACGGGAGTCTTACTAGGCATGGTGGCCATTTCTTGGGAGTAGAGCTATAACAGGACGATCTAAAGAAACTGTATATTGTTGGGTCGCTTATTAGATGTTAGGTCTTTTAGAGGAGCAAACATAGATGGTGATCACTATTTAGTTAAAGCACAATTTAAAGAGAGAATATCCAATTTAAAAAAGGAGATCAGGAAAAAGAACGAAAATATCGACATTAATAAACTAAAAGATCCATACAGACCGCAAATAGAAGATCAAATAAGAACAGAAAACTTAGAAGAAGAGACGGTTCTTCAATAGGAAGAGGATCAGTAGGAAGACCACAAAAATGAAAAACAGACACGAGTCATGTCAACATAAAAAGAAGAAGAAAAAAAGAAAAAGGATACAATATAGAAATACGAAAACAAAAATGAAGAAAAAGGGCACACAGACAATGGATTAGAAAACAAAAAAAAATAGAAAACAGAAATGAGAAATCTACAAAAACGCCATAAAGTACTAGGCATTGAGGAAAATGAAAAGTATGTGATTGGGTTGATAAAGAATATCATATTAACGGAATAAAGATAAATTGAACGGACATAGAACAAATTATATAATTATTTTGTGAATCGATATATTTGTCAATTATTTCGTAAACTGATACAGATGGTTAAACTTTACTTTATTCTGTAGTTTCTAAACTATTAATTTTTACCTTAGACATAATTTCAATGGTTTTTATTATAGAAGTATTTTTCACGTTTTTGTTTGTTTTAAATTTTCATTTCATATAATTATATTAAGTGAGTATGAAATAATTGAGAATGTTCATTGTGCCCGAAAAACCAATTTAACTCACTTATTCAAATATTGAGCAGATTATAACACAACAGGAAAAAATAGAACATAACCGGTTAAAATAAAAGATACGACATGTTTCGCTAATATAAAAAGTGTCAAAAAATAACAAAGTTAAATAAAGAAGACAACTTGAGGTACAATAAAAAAATAACAATATATTTATTCAAAACTTACCAATTTAGCTTCTTCACTCAATGATAACCTCTCCGTCGGTAGATTTCCGTGAAGTGGCCCGTGCCCCTTGCGGTTACCTCTTCTGTTGGGATGGGGGCCACCCCCACCGCCGGATGGGGGTTGAATCGGTCCCGCTGAATGCATCATGGTCATGCTTTGGGACTCCATTTAGAGTTTCTAGATAAAAAACGGGGAATAAAAATAAAATTCTCGAAGAACATCAATATTTTGATAATTTATTTAAGGAATACTGTATAAAGTGGTCGTTTAAGTGACCTTGATGTTTTTTTCTTTTAATAATGAGTAAATGCAATTCCTAGAATAGATAATATTAATTGGTCTGGTCAGTGACGTTAAGAAAGCGACATTATTATACAGGGTGTGTGGGGAAAAACGCATCAACCTCTTGAAGGATATTGTATACGTGAAAATAATTATCTTGTTATTTAATTTTCACTTTTTTTCCAATTATAATAATAATAAAATTTTCTTGTCGGTGTCTTTATAATAAATTTTATTACACAATTTAGCGTCCTTAAAATGGATTGGTGCTGTTTTGTTAAATTAATAAATGTCTTCGTGTTAAAATATTAAATGAAACAAAGAATATAGTTATAGTTTTAAAACAACATATTAGGCAAAAGTATAGAGAAAGTTCCGATGAAGTTAGCTACAAATTAGGGACATATTTGTATTTGGCAGTGTTGCCATATCACAAATAAATCACGAAAGAGCATGCGATACAATATTAATTAATGTTACTAAACATTCTTTTTAAGTTTTCAATAGAAGTTTAATTAATTTGAATTTAATTTATTATAATTTAAATTAACTTTTGATTTTTCATTACATTTCATCCCAAAAGTATTAGAAAATAGTGATAAAATTGAAATCTGCTGAACATCTGTTGAAATCTAGCAGCTAGTGTTTTCAAAGTTTTGACAGTATTGCCAAGTTTATTTGCTAATCTACCAAAGGCCAATTATATTTTTTTTCTAATAACTAACTGCAACTAAGAACAAAAGAAATCAAATAGTCGCTGAAAAGTGTAAACCTGCTATCTCCACTTTTGGGTGATTTTGACATAATTAAAAAGAGAAAAAAATTCTACATAATCATAAAAACTGTCATCTCCATTAAAATTCAAATATAAGTGAATTAATTCGCCTCAGTATTTCCTGCTAACCCCGCAAATTCTTAACTTGTCACGGAAAGATTACTATCTCCAGTAGTTTGGTTAGAACATACAAAACAGTGATGCCACTCCTCACGATTTATCGTGAGATCTCACGAAATGAAGACAATAATCTCACGATTGACGTCTTATATCTCTAAAATTTTTAGGCTGTTAATAAATCTAAAGATAAATAATGGGTACCTAATAAAATGTATACGAGAAAATCGGCATTTTTGAAGTGCTCTTAGATTGTCACCTTGAAATATTCATAAATCAACTATATTTTTATACAAAAATGCTTGCACTACTCCAATTAGTATACACATACACAAAATAAGATAAACAAAGCTTAAAAGTTTCTTTATTGCTTTGAAAGTGTAAGTATCGGTCCATAAACAACTGAAGTTTATGTATATTTTATCAATAAATATGAAGAATAGCCGGAATTTGTATTAAAAGATCAACAGACCAAAATGATTTAAGTGTGTGTTCGTTGGACATATGAAACAAATCAGCAATTGCATATAACAACTTTATATTTCATCTTCAATAACTTTGAAATCCTACAAGTACCGATAAAATGTTAAATCCTCAGAAAACAAATTAGGTTTATGTATACCTAATATATATTATACTTAATATTTTTGGGTAAAAAGGTTTATAATTTTCATTGAAGTTTAAACTATACAGAATGTTTATAATCATTGCCTAATATTGAATCGATAAATCCTAACTTGCAGTATATATATAGGTAGGTAGGTAATTTCCTAAAATTATATCTGATACTGGTGGTTCCCCTAAAAATAGGCCCTTTTCTAGTACACTAATTTTTAAGTGTGTACTTATACATTAATTAATATATAACAATACAAAGTATTTAAAATAGTTTTGTATAATTATATACCATTTAAAAACTCCCATTTCCTTCAAAATTCAAATTTTTTATTATTTGGAAGTTCTTTTGTTACCAATATTTAAAGATGTGTATGTTTAATGTATTGCATAATTGTTTTTGTTATATAAATATCTTTAAATTTAATTTAATCATAATACGAAAATCGGCGCCTTTTCTCATTGGCGTCATGATTAAGTTAAAATTTTGGCGCTATTAGTTCAGGCGCTTCATCTACATTATTGTTATACATATTTAAATCGTAGATAACGTTTTTTATATTATATGTTTTATGTTAAAGGCTTTAGTTTAATTTGTTTGTTATTAAATTATGCTTTAAGATGTTTACCATTGGTACTTATAGTCGTACTTTTTTACTTCACATATGTCTTTCAACACTCGTTCAAAGAGGATTATATCAATGGTAGAAAAAAATGGAAGAATGTCAAATTTTAATTCCGAATACGTCAACTGTCTTGCTTGCATAGTTCGACGGCAGCAATCTTATTATATCAGGAGTAGTATTAGCTATGGTCTGTTTTTAAACCAGGAGGAGTAATTCAAATTTTCCGCGCCATAATGCTTGTTTGTAATTGGTCGACAGCGCAGGCAAGTTTACTCCACTAAATTATGACATATTGACACTAATGACATTTGTGAAATTTTAAAATTCAAAATTTATATCGACAATTTTCTGTATTTTCTGTGTTATTTCTTTCATCTTTAGATTTTTCGTTTGCATTTATATAAAAAACAGTTCTTTTCAGAACTATTTAGCGACATATTAGTGTTATTAAGATAACAATATGGATTCAATGCCAAGTACTAGTGGTAATTATTCTTCTCCACCTTAAAAACGCCGAGTAGATTTGGATCATTTATCATCAAATGAGAAATAATGTACTATAAACATGTACAAACATGAAAATTGATAATTCTGGAATAATAATAACAGCCACGGTAGTAAAATAAAGCAGGCAGCAGGTTAGTTTTACAGAATAGTTATTATTAAAATCAAGACTTACTAAAGTAATGTGCTAATTTTAGGTATTGCGAATTCAACTATTTACAAGAATAGAATTTAGAACAATTAAAGAATATAAGCAGACTGGAGCAGTAAAATGTCCTAAAAATATTGAAGGTCGACCTTATATTCTTGCAACATGGGATGAAAGAGTTAAAACATCTATACGACAGATAGTACACAGCTTCTTTTTCAAGAATGAAATGCTCACTTTAGGTAAAATTTTAAGTGAAATTAACGACCGCTCAGATCTTCCAAAATATGTGTCGTTCATTATTATATAAATTATTGAAGCAAATCAATTTGAAGTAAGTACAAATATTGGTATGTAAATATGGGTTAGCTACAATTATATAGTAAAAGTAACTAAAACATTTTATAGATTTCATTTTTATAATCAGGTATATTATCGTTACTATTAAATATTAAGTTTTAAGTTTTTATTTATATACTCTACTGGAATGTTGTCAAGTATTTTGGTTCAACAGATATAAGAACATGCAAAGGGAAGAAAAGGAAAAAAAAGGATATTTTTACTTTACATATGCAGATTCAATGCAGCAAATATTACACAGCATAACTATAGATTGTTTATCTTACTTTATAGGATGATTGATTTATTGTCTGTATTATGAATGTCTTACCATAGTTATTTTTTAGGGGAAATTATTCAAAGAATAGTTTATACATTGGGCTGCTGACCAAAAACAAAACTTTCTTGCTCAAATATCTGAAATAGATTCAGTTTTTTGCTGAAAAAATAAATCAAGAAATTCAAAATGGTGTAGTTATGTTCATTTGGACTTGGTGATATGCGATAATAGTATTTAATGTAATATTTTTCTAGCTGATATATATATATATATATATAATATATATATATATATATATTATATATATATATATATATATATATAATAAATAGAGTTTACAGTGTTATAAATTTATAAATGTATGATATTTATATCTAATTATCATAAGAAAAACGGCAACTATCTTTTAAATTTGTGTATACTTGTTAAGAAGCATTTTCATTTGTTTTCATCACAATAAAAGAACATTAGTAATGTTGTGTTTTACTTTGATTGTATTGATACAGTTGGTTTTGTTCTTCCTGTTGTAGATCATCACAAGAAAACTACAAAATTATACTAGAATGTAACATAATAGATTGAATTAGTTGATTATGTCACAGAAATCCAGTATTTTTTAGTAAATTTTATTTATTGATAACAAATGAGACAAACTCACTGTCAAAATTAAACAAGAATCCAGTATTAAAGAAATTGCAAGTACACACTTATTTATACAAATTTATTGTTTTGCATTTTAGTGCTTCAAATAGATCCTTAAGATATTGATACATAAGTTAAATCTATCTAATGAGGTAACTGATTACCATGCATGAAATGAAAAGTAGGACCACACCTATATTTGAACCATAATTTATTCTGTGATATGAAACATGAAAAAGTTAATTCTAAAGCAGTGAATGGGAAGGAATATGTAAAACAAACTGGCTGCAGCAATTCAGGAGATTGGATTATTAAGCTTAAAAATAATGACCAAAGTCAAAGTTAATTCTTCTGGTAAGCAAAAAAAAACCTAGATTCAAGATTAATCACACCAGAATAAGAATATGGTCTACGCAATTTAAAAGAACAGTATTTCAGAAATCTTTGAACTCTCTCTAACTTTTGATACATGCATTTGCATAGCTTTGTTGCATATAAGATCTATTTGCAAATTAAAAGACAACTTTCTGTGAAAAACCATACTTAGATCTGTAACATTATTGACTCTCTGGATCAAAATATTCTCTAAATTAAGTACCATCGACTCAAAGGATCTATAAAACTGGATCACCCGATATTTAAATATATATACATGGGACCAAATGTGAAAAACGTCCTTTTTTATTGTAATAATTGTAATATATATACAAAGAATATAGACGCTTATCTATATTCTTTGATATATATATTGGAATATTATTAAAACATTAAAGTTAGGTTAGAATTGACGTGTAAGGTTGTCCGATATTGATAACTCGATTACCGCAAAGCCGAGATATA